AAATCACCAAATCAGTACCATTTACAATAGCCCCCAAGAAGATACTATACTTAGGAATAAATTTAACCAGAGACGTAAAAGATCTATACAATGAAAACTACAAGACAATACTGCAAGAATCCAAAAGAGACCTGCATAAGTGGAAAAACATACCTTGCTCATGGATAGGTAGACTCAACACAGTGAAAATGTCAATTCTACCCAAAACGATCTACAGATACAATTCAATCCCGATCCAAATTCCAAAGGCATTTTTTAATAAGATGGAGAAACAAATCACCAACTTCATACAGAAAGGGAAGAGGCCTCGAATAAGTAAAGCATTACTCAAGAAGAACAACAAAGTGGGAGGCATCACACTACCTGATTTTAGAAACTATTATACCGCCACGGTAGTCAAAACAGCCTGGTACTGGTACAACAACAGATACATAGACCAATGGAACAGAATTGAGAATCCAGACATAAATTCATCCACCTATGAGCACCTGGTATTTGACAAAGGCCCGAAGTCTGTTAATTGGGGAAAAGACAGTCTCTTTAACAAATGGTGCTGGCATAACTGGATAGCCATCTGCAAAAAACTGAAACAAGGCCCATACCTTACACCATGCACGAAAACTAACTCAAAATGGATCAAAGACTTAAATATAAAATCAAAAACTATAAAGATTATGGAAGAAAAAATAGGGACCACGCCAGGAGCCCTAATACATGGCATAAACACAATACGAACCATAAGTAACAATACACAAGCACCAGAAGAGAGACTAGATAATATGAGCTCTTAAAAATCAAACATTTATGCTCATCAAAAGACTTCACCAAAAGAATAAAAAGACAACCTACAGACTGGGAAAAAAATTTTGGCTACGACAAATCCTAACAGCGTCTAACCTCTAAAATCTACAAGATACTGTAAAACCTCAACAACAAAAAGACAAATAACCCAATTAAATGGGCAAAGGATATGAACAGGCACTTCGCTAAAGAAGATATTCCGGCAGCTAACAGACACATGAAGAAATGCTCACAATTATTAGCCGTTTGAGAAATCAAATCAAAACTATAATGAGATATCATCTCACCCCAACAAGGCTAGCATTAATCCAAAAAACACAAAATAATAAATGCTGGAGAGGTTGTGGAGAGACTGAAACACTTACACACTGTTGGTGGAATGTAAACTGGTACGACGACTTTCTAAATCGATTTGGCGTTTCCTTAAAAAGTTAGAAATAGAAGTACCATACAATCCAGCTATCCTGCTCCTTGGAATGTATCCTAAAGAAATAAGAGCCGTCACACGAATAGATATGTGCACACCCATGTTCACCGCAGTGCTGTTTACAACAGCAGAAAGATGGAAACAACTTAGGTGCCTATCAACGGACAAATGGATAAACAAATTATGGTATATTCACACAATGGAATACTACACGATGATAAAGAACAATGAGGAAGCTGTGAAACATAACGTGGAGGAAGGTGGAGGTCATTATGCTGAGTGAATTTATTCAGTCACAAAAGGACAAATACTGTATAAGACCACTATTATAAGAACTCAACGAAAGGTTTAAACACAGAAGAAAACATTCTTTGATGGTTATGAGAGTGGGGACGAAGGGAGAGGGTTATTTACTAACTAGATACTAGGTAAGAATTATCTTAGGTGAAGGGAAGGACAGCATACACTACAGGGGAGGTCAGCACAACTGGACTAAGCCAAAGTTAAGAAGTTTCCTGAATACAATCAAACACTTTGAGGGACAGAGTAGTGAGGGTAGGGGTCTGGTCTGCTTTCAGGGGACACCTAGGTCAACTGGCATAACAAAGCTTATTAAGAAAATGTTCTGCATCCTACTTTGGTGAGTGGTGTCTGGGGTCTTAAAAGCTTGCAAGTGGCCATCTAAGATGCATCAATTGGTCCCAACCACCTGGAGTAAAGGAGAATGAAGAACACCAAAGACACAAGGAAAGCATTAGCCCAAAAGACAGAAAAGGTCACATAAACCAGAGACTTCATCAGCCTGAGACCAGAAGAACTAGATGGTGCCCAGCAACCACCAATGACCACCCTGACAGGGAACAAAACAGAGAGTCCTGGATGGAGCAGGAGAAAAGTGAGGTGCAGAACTCAAATTCTAGTAAAAAGACCAGACTTAATGGTCTGACTGAGACTGGAGGAACCCCAGAAAGCATGGCCCCCAGACCTTCTGTCAACCCAGAACTAAAACAACTCCTGAGGCCAACTCTTCAGACAAAGATTGAACTGGACTATGGGACATAAAATGGTACTTGTGAAGAGTGTGCTTCTTAGCTCAAGCGGATACAAGAGACTAAATGGGCAGCTTCTGTGCAGAGGTGAGATAGGAAGGAAGAGAGGGTTAGGAGCTGGTTGAATGGACATGGGGAATCGGGTGGAAAGGAGGTGTGTGCTGTTACAATATGGGGACAGCAATTATAGTCACATAACAATGTATGTATAAATTTTTGTATGGGAAAAAGAAAAGAAAATGTACAGGGTACCCCTGCCCCAACAAAGAATGATCTACTTAAACGTCAACAGTGCTCTGTTGAGAATCTCTATAACGATAAAATTGAAAAGCCCTGTGTTAGATTCACAAACTATGGTAATCTATAACTAATGAACATAAAGCAATACAATTTTGATATAATTTTCATAGACAGAAGTGTCAAGTACATAACCAGTTGCTTTAGAGTGGATTCCGACTCATGGTGAGCCCATGTGTGTCAGAACAGAACTGTGCTCTATAGTGTTTTCAATGGCTGATTTTTTGGAAGTAGATCATCAGGTTTTTCTTCCAAGGCATCTCTGGGTGGACTTAAACACCTAACCTTTCAGTTAGGAGCCGAATGACTGCCTTAACCACTGGCACTACCCAGTACATGGATATATTCTATTTGTTAGTCCACATTATATAAGCTACTCACCCACAACCTTTTCCCTACTCTCCCTTTCCTTCTATTTTCCTGATCCTTGATCCTCTTACACTCCTTTTAAGCCACCCTCTCATTCCAAAACCTCCAATTCTTTTAAGGAATAAAAAGAAACAGAAAGCATCGGTCTCATCTATGCTGCCTAAGGTCTAAAACTATTCAAGACTATTGAAGAACGGTCACAAGTCTATGATCAGGAAGCTCAGTATTCTATGTGGATTTAAAAAAGAATGCTATAAAAAGAGAATTTTGTCATCCCTTCCCAGGACCACTGCAAAAAGTGAGAGACCTGACCCATAACTCAATATAAAATATCATTTCAAATGTTTCTAAATCATTATGAACAATCTCCTCTCTTGGGATTTCAGCAGCACAAAGTGAGTTTCAAAAGTTCACTCCTTGCTTATACCAGTCCTTGAATTTAGGTCAGCTACACTTATTAAATACCTATTAAATACGCCTTTATTTGTCTTAAATCTCTTTTAAAACTCTTAGTAGTCTCAGAGAGTAAGTCTATTTTTAACCAATTTGTATTTTTCATTTCATTTAAATATCATCTCAGTCTGTATATGTTTCATTTAACTACATCGATATGGCAGCATTTCAATACCTTGCATCTTTTTTTATATTCTTCTCTCTGTAATTTCTCCAATTTCATTAAATATTTTTGGAAGCACAATGAATTAAATCTCTATAATAGAGGAAGAACAAAAGAAATACCATCTGCATACAGATAAGGCCAGATTTAGGACTTATTTTCAATAAAATATAAAATAAAAATTATTTTTCAAATAAAAAGGGATCAATACATTTAAAGTACTAAATTAAGCCTAGACAAGAATGCTTATGGCACAGTGGTTAACGAAATGTGGCAGTAAATTTGAAAGATGTCATTTTAGGTAATTACCTGTTTATAAAGACATATTATAAAATTTTTGGAGATAGAAGCAAAATTTAATAGTGTCATAAAGACAACTTACTAATAAGGGACTTTTAAATAAATCTGCAAAAATCCCCATAACCAAGTATATTATTATTATTGGGCCACATAAAAAAAAAAAATTACCGAAAGCATATGAATCTGTCCAGTCGTGCATGCATCCAAACAGAAGGCAAAAATGTTTTCAATTTAATATTCTAACAAGGTATGAGCTAAACCAGTGATTTCTTTCTTTACAGAATTTTTTTTTTTACAATTGCTTCAGGGCACTATACCTTTTTAAAGCTAGCATATACTCAATGCTTAATAATGCAGAAAAATTCACTCACCATTTCAGTGGTGTGCCTTCGTATTCAAACCATATCTCACTAATGTCTTCTTGTCTCATAACCTTCTGAAAGTGCTTTTTCACTTTGTCAGTTACCAACGTCAAATAACTTACTCTTGGCAAAAGCAACTGAAATGAAAATTTGTAAAACCATATTTATTTACTAGTTATTTTTTCAAAAAAGTATATACTAAATAGGTTTTTGAATTTTAAGGAAAACAGCCATTTTCTTTGCACTATTTTGAATATTCTACACAAAGTCAATTGCTTTTTGTAGAAAATCAAAGGGACTAAGACATTTTAAATTTTCTTATGGGGTCATTACTTTAAGTACAGCTTACAGAATAAATGCCTAGAATAAACAACACGTATCTTTCTATAGTCTTTCTGTAACCCTTTTTCCAAATAAAAATACAATGTAATCAGCTGTCATTGTATTTAAGATACTCATTAGTGCTACTAAATTTAACTTAAAATTAAAATGATTCACCTGAGTTAATTAAACTGCTCTAAGACAAGTAACTTAGTCCTGATGTTTGCCTTATCAATCTCGCCTTCTCAATTGATAACCTATTGTGTATTAGATTTAGTTGCAATGGACAAGAACACCAAAACAAAGACATACTTTTATATGAGGGCAAAATAAAGTGGAGGTAGAAAAATACTCATTAAAAAGTGCTTATAAAAATATTTTACGGCAGCAACAGAAAGGCCTTTAAAGGTCAAACAGAAATTTTCATTTGATGAACAGAGACTCACGATGATACTACAAACAGAAGGAAAACAGTACCCAAGGAACAGTCTAGCAGCTGTACATTAAAAAAACAAAAGAAGATGAGATTATAGACAGAAGACTGTTATGGCGATATTACATAAGGAGATGAAGGCCTGGAAAAGCATGGAATATCTGGAAATCAGTCAGAATAGACTCTGTTAATACTAATGAAGAAAGTGAAGGAAAGAAGGGGTGATGGTTGAACAACAGGATGAATGTAATTAACATCACTGAACTGAACATGTAAAAAATGCTGCAACGGCAGAAAAGAAAAAAAAAGGGAAAAGGTAAGGTAGAGGTGATTTTTGTCTTTCGAGCTACACATTTAAATCTTTAAACTACCATAAAGCACAAGCTTAGGGTACAAAGCTGGTAGACTAATGACCCTGCCACTATCTAACAACTCCCTCAATCTTGTCCTTATGGAGGCTGGCCCTACTTGGACTTTCGGCAGAGAAAAGTATGGGAGGGAATGTTGGACTAAGTAAACCTTCAACTTGAATAATGTGAAGTTCCCCAATATTTTTCACTTAGGAAAAGTACTCAGAAAGGAACCATGAAAGCGAATTTTAGAAAACTGTTCATAATTGATATAAATAACCCAAAGAGAAAAGGGAGAAAGCAAAACTTCATGTATTTATTCCTTTCCTAAGCCTTCCTTTGCTGGTATCAATTTTTTGTTACTCTCTTTCAGCTCCTTTGTAAATCTAACTCTACACCATTCTCCACGCTGCTTATTCAGGGTGATGTCTTTTGATCAGCAAATCAAGTAGAGCTACTGGGCTGGCGAATATACCCAGAGAAATATACTGGTTGAAAGAACTGATATGTAATCATTGAAGACCAAGATAACAGGCCCTGGGGCCGTGGGGTGTAGAGGTGTGGAGAAAGAGGAGGTAGTTAGCATGCTCCAGTATGGTACAGAATATACTGATACTCTGAATAAGCTGTTGGATAGTACTTTGGCTTCAAGAGAACACATGTTCCTCTTTTAAAAAGAAACAACTAGAATATGATTATAAAAGAAAAAGGAAACTAATACCTCCTATATATAAGGAAAAACACTAGATGTTTTACGGAAGTATCACCTCTATTTTACATACAGCTTAAATTAAATAACTGGCCAAAATCACATGCTATTAAATAGAAGGCAAAGAAAAGATTCCCTGGAGTCAGAAATGAAAGAATCAATACAGATGTGATAAGGACATCTCAAAGACATTAAAAAAGCAAGGTAATTAGGCATTTTTAAAAACAAGTATAAACTACTAGTCTAGTAAGTTCTGTATTATTAAATCCAAAACTTAAATTTAAAATGACTGTTGGGTATTACATCATAATCTATACTGTATGGAGATGCTAACAAACAAGACACATCAGAACTAGAGTACAGATATCACCGCCTAACTTTGGAGAGTACTGTATTACATGCCTAGGGTTTAATCACAATTGCTGAGGAATTCATAAATGATTCTCATGAAACAAAAACTTCTTTTTAGAATAAGAAAAAAATCAGAATGCAAGCTCCATTTGGACAGAGATTTTTGTCTGTTTTGTTCATCGCTACATTCCCGATGTTTAATAGTGCCTGCTTTATATAGTAGGTGCACAAAAAACATTTGTTGCATGAATCAGAGATGCCAAAGGTTAAGTGGGCCAAAGAACCAAAAACATTAATTTAAAAAAAAGTCTTTTCTTTTTGAAAAGCAGAATTAGCGCTCGAATCTTCTTTTTCAAATTGGCCTATGGGGGTAATCTACAGCGATATATGTATTGTAACACTAAGAAATAACTCTAACGTCATGCTTGAGTAGATACAGATACAACTTATCTAGTAAATATTTACATAGGTAAAAATGAAAAGAAAGTAACAGTGAAAAGACATCATCCCGCCTTTTACCTCCAGACCATATCACTCATTGTTTTTCTTAGGTATATCTCATTTGTTTATTTTAAATTCTTCTAACAGGGAAAGGATTAACCCATCTGGGGATACCGTCAGTTACAGGCAATGCACTGTTCTCTTGTTCCTCATTTAGCATTGGTCACTAGTATAAAGTATTCATGGAGCCCTGGTGGCACAGTGGTTAAGCGATTGACTGACTGGCTAATTGAAAGGTTGGCGTTTCAAAACCACCAGGGGCTACAGGAGAGAGATGTGGCAGACTGCTTCTGCAGAGATTTACAGCCTCGGAAACCCTATGGGGTCGCTATGAGTCAGCAGTGTACGGATAGGTTTATAAAGTATTCAGCAGTGAATGGGTTTCTGAAGTATTCAGTGAGGACAACACAGTTATTCATTTTTTTCTACATACAGCTTGTAAGGGATTGTTTTACACAGTTGTATGGAATACATGTTTCTGAAAAAGTAACCTGTGGTATTATTTCTTTATACCAAATCATATTTTGTCCAACAATTTTCAATTATAAAATTAGAGATTTACTAATATAGGATAAAAATAGAATGGAAATGTACTAGAATTCTGCTCCATTCCAATGTGTGAGGCATCATACTAGGAACGCAGACAGAGCATTGAATAAGACACAGAATACCTCCTTTCATGAAGCTTAAAGGCTAGAAAGGAAGACAGATACCAAAAACAAAATTACAAATGTGATAAATGCTAGCAAAGAGGAAGTAAAGAATGTTATAAGAGCAAATAGCAAAGGGATTTAACCTAATCTAGGGGCTCAGGGAAGGCTTGACAGAAAATATATTTTAAGGCAAGAGTCAAAAGACAAACCAGAAAGAACCAAACACGAATGGGTGTGGGTGTCTGGGTATATGTACAAATTGAGGACACTTTTGCCCATTCAAGACAGAGGAAACTACAAGAGACAAGGCATGGAGTAAACAGAGAGAGACAAAGCCTACACATCTGAGAGAACTGTAAGAAATTGATTATGGTAGAAATGCAGAGGTGGGACAGAATAGCAAAGGGCCAGATCACAGAGAGCATTATAAACTATATTAAGGATACTGAAGATAATGAAAAGCCCCTAAAGGTTTTAAGCAGGCAAATGACAAAATCAGGTATGTGTTTCTAAAACATCACTCCAACTGCAGACTGGAAAATGCAGAGAAGAGGGCAAAAACGAAAGCAGGAAAATTAGTGCTATGCAATTCAACAATTTTTAGATGGTGGTCTGGACCAGGGTGGTAGCAATAGGCATAAGAAAGTGGGTAAGCTGGAGAGAGATCTGAGATGTAAAGTCAGTCAGACTAATTACTGTCAGGATGTCATGGGTATGGGAAAAGGAAGCGTCAAAAAATGATTGCCAGGTTTCTGACACGAGTAATTAATCAGATGGATGGTAGGTCTACTTGCTAAAATAAGAAGGGAATGACAGCAAATGTCCAGGTTTTCTGCAGGTGAAGACAAGTCCAGTTTCAAACAAACTCAGTCTGAATTCCTTCAAGACATCTCATTGAAGATATCCAGCAGTAAGATATACAGGTCTGAGGCTCAGGAGAGAAGTCTTGGGAGCTGTCAACATATAATGCTCAACAAAATCCTAAGAATGGATGAAAGCTCCTGGGTAAAAAGTAAAGTAAAGAAAAAAAAAACAAGAAGGCAGCATAGCCCTAAGGAAGGCCAACATTAAGAAGAAGCAAAGGAGAAAGATTTAGCAAAAGAGACTTAAAAAAAAGAGAGAGAGAGAGGCAGAAGCAAAATCAGGAAATATGAAGCACTTCAGAGGCAAGAGAGGAAAAGTATCATAAGATGTAGAAAATACCACCTAATGCTGAGAGATCAAACAAATGAGAATTCAAAAATATGTGCCAGGTTTGGCAAAGAGATGACTTTAGTGACTTTTGCGGGAATAGTGTGAAAATGTGGTTATAGAGAACTAAGTCATAGGAAATAGAAGGAGGCAATGAGCAGAGACAACTTTTCCAAGAAGTCTGGCGGGGAAGGGAACACCACAGGGAGATGGGGTCAACAGAGGACTGTTTTAGGATAGGACAATATAAGTGCTGTGAAGCAAGAGCCAGTAGATAGGAAGAAGTTGAAAATAAATTAAAGCAAGAAGGCAGGGATGGGGGTGGGAGAATATGAGATACCACCAGCTTCCAGAAAAGGCAGGAGATGTGATTTAGAACATAAACAAAGGGTTAGGCCTTGTCTAAAAGGAAAGACACCTCTTTCATTCTAACCGGAAAGGAGAAGTAAATGCATGTGAATGCAGATAGGTTTGGTAGATTTGGTGACAAAGTTAAGGGAGGTCCTATCTATTTGTGGTTTCTATTTTCTTTGTGAAGTAGGAAGTGAGGTCACTTGTTAACAGTGAAGGATGAGGTCAGGGCTCAGAGGTTTAAATAAAGTACAGAAGATTTCAAACACTCATAGTAGAGAAGGGAAGAGACAGCTGACTAAGGAAACATGAAAGGATTGGTGGGCAGTGTTTAAGGTTGTGAGATGATGACCATCTGTCTACGTGATTTCCTCCAAACAAGTCACAAAATACGAATACAAATGAGTGTGTGTGGTTTTATATTGGATAATCTAAATAAAAAGCAACAATTTAAATGACTATAACAGAAACAATAAAAACTAAAAAGTTGCCTAGTTTTTAAATTTGCTTCCCAATAATCCCTGCAAAATAACACATAATTCTCAATGATCTAAATAGAGGATATAGGCAAAAATATTTATGTGCACAGACAACAAATCAAAATACAGAAATATGCATGAATGCATTTAACATTAATATTCTTTTCCAACAGAAACAGAAAATTCCAGGAGACTCTTTGAATATTTAATTTGCAAATTTGATACGAGTGGCTATTTTAAAATCCAGTTTTTAAGAAATAAGCTGTAAGCATTATAAACATTAAAGTACATTCCCATTTACCTTTCCTTAGTGCAATCCACCTGAGCATAAATGGACTCTGGACTCCTCAGGCCACAGTGACAACCCTGTTAATGTCACCTTACCTGAGCTTTGGGGAATGTCTGGGAAAGGGGTTTATTGGCTCTCAGGCTGTAGTATTTTTTACCTCATTTTTTCATCCAGAATCTTTAAAACATTACCATTATTATAAACCAAAGCAATTAAAAATATTTGAAAGCTTCATCTACAACTAAGACATATCTGAACTACAACTACATTGGCACCAAAATAAAATTAAAGAAAAAACCACAATCTGTTGCCATTGAGTCAATTCCGACTCATACCGACCCTATAGGACAGAGGAGAACTGCCCCAGAGAGTTTCCAAGAAATGCCTGGTGGATTCGAACTGCCAACCACTACACCACCAGGGTTTCCTGGCACCAAAATGCTCATCTATAATTCTAAGACTAACCATTGTTCATGTTTTTGTATATTTTCTTCCTGTATATATTACTTTATAAAAGTATATATGTACGTGCTGAGAAAGCAAAATTTGGATTATACCATATGGTTTTAAACTCTAGTTTCTTGTTTAATATTTATGATAAGCCTTGTCATAGATTGAACTATGTCTCCCAAAAAATGTGTGTATCAATTTGGCTGGGCCATGATTCCCAGTACTGTACGGTTGTCCTCCATTTTGTGATTGTAATGTTACGTTAAAGAGGATTAGGGTGGGATTATAACATCCTTAAACTCTGGTGGCGTAGTGGTTAAGTGCTACAGCTGCTAACCAAAAGGTTGGCAGTTTGAATCCACCAGGCGCTGCTTGGAAACTCTATAGGGCAGTTCTACTCTGTCCTATAGGGTTGCTATGAATCAGAACTGACTCGACAGCAAAGTGTTTGGTTTTTTTTCGTTTTTGATATAGCATCCTTACTAAGGTCACATCCCTGAGCCAACGTAAAGGGAGTTTCCCTGGGGTGCGGCCTGCAGCACCTTTTATCTTACAAGAGATAAAAGGAAAGGGAAGCAAGCAGAGACAGAGGACCTCATACCACCAAGAAAGCAGGGCCGGGAGCAGAGTGCGTCCTTTGGACCCATGGTCCCTGTGTGGAGAACCTCCTAGTCCGGGGAAAGATTGATAAGAAGGCCGACAGAGAGAGAAAGGCTTTCCTGGAGCTGATGCCCTGAATTTGGACTTTCAGCCTACTTTACTGTGAAGAAATAAATTTCTCTTTGTTAAAGCCATCCACTTGGGGTATTTCTGTTATAGCAGCACTACATGACTAACACAAGCCTTTTACCCAATATTCTTCAAAAGCACAAATTAAGAAATGATGAATTAAGAAAGATTATTAAGAGTATAAAAACAATTACCTACAAGAGAAAATCACCCTCTTCCTCCTATGGTTATCCCAACACTTTTGCCATTTTCAATTTGATTAGAAACAGCTGGAAAGCTTACACTATAGTTCTTACAACAGCCTTTTCATATTTAAAGAGATCAGATATGAAGGAATAAAAATAATGTATTCTTCAGTTGGATTTTTTAAAACAGAAGTCAAACATCAGAGTCTGATTTAGAAGTAAACACACTAAAATCATATTATTTGTCAGTTTTTTCCACTTTGAATGACTGTACAGATACACCCCTTTGTTTAGATACTATTAGAAAGTCACTCAAGGTTGAAAGTTTTAATTAAAACAGCAAAAACTGGGTTGCCAACAAAACAATATAGTTACCCCAAACTGCAGAGGAGAATAGAAAAAATACATCTAACAAATGAAATTCTTCTGAAAATAACTATGACCACACTTTCTTTTTAACCATGGAAGTTTTTCTAATGGCAAAAAATTGTTGAGATTTCCAAAGTTAAAATGACTGAAATATACCTAAGCAAAGACTGCCAACTTTGTCTGAACGTGTATTTCAAAAAAGAAAATCCAAAAAGACAATTTAAAACAAAATCCCAACATGAGTCTGAGGAAGTTTTCGTTCACTGAGTATCTACTACTTGCACGACCCAAGCCAGATGTTAAGGACCCACAGAGAAAAATGAAACAGTTCCTGTACCCAAAAAGTTAGTGAACTGGCTCCTTAAGTAGCTTCCTCCAGCAGTCTGACTTCCCACAGCTACAGCAGGCTGAGGAGTAGTGCTGCCTCTCAACACATGAGGGAGAAAATGAAGGGCAAGTTTTATTAAAGTGAAACAGAAGAAATATTCCATTGCCACCCATACATTTCCACTTTCCCACATCCTCTCTGGGTAAACAATATTATGTGCACCTCAGACACAAAAAGAAAAAACTAGAAGAAAGGCAAATGAAAATGTCTTTGTCCCTTTGCCAATAAATAGGCAGGATACTATCATCTCTGACTGACAGATGCATGAGCTTGGATTATATGTGCACTTAGAAAAAGAAAAAAGGCACACTAAAATCAGAACATACTTTAAACTCTTTTTTAGAACAGATAATCCATTAACTCAAACCTATAAGTCTATACACAGCAGTTTATAATATATATAAACATATACATTATATACTGAATATATATTACCTCAATGAACATATGAATACACACACATATGCACATTCCTATGTTCACTGAACTACAGAATTAACTTTGTTAAATAGTTGCCTGGAAGCACCTAAGTACAACAGAATTATAGCTGAACCTATTATTTTCAAAATAGCTTCCTGTTACAAAACATTACATAGCTTATGATTCCAACATCATTACATATGCATAAAAAAAAGTCAAGAAGATCCGATATCAATATATCAACAGCAGTTTTTTTCCCCTCTGGGTGGTAGGATATAGGGGATTTTTATTTCCTTTTTTTTTTTTTTTTTGGCTTATCTTTGTTTTCTAGTTTTTTTCCCATAATGGGAAAAAATTATGGGAATGTATTAATGTATATAATACATTATAATGGGAATGTATTAATTGTATATAATATGTTAGATGACAGTCTTCAGGTACTTAGAGCTTTATTTACAAAAATGGTCAACGTTAAATATCCCATTTACCACCATCAACATACTTACATAATATGGTTCTGCTTCCCTTTCAGTTATCTCATCCTGATATAGCGTGAAGCAAGTTGGAATTCGTCCAAACCACACATCTCGAAGCACATCTTTGTCATCTGTCATTCTTCCAATGGTTAAAGAGGTACATATAGGCTAAGTTCTTTTTCCAACTAAAGCCAAACTGAAAACAAAATAAAGAGCATTAGTCAGATCCTTGCAAGGATGAATGAGCCTGCTATGAAGCAAAGAAAAATTATAGGAAAAAAATAAATGCCACAAAGATTATTCACTTCAAAAAATTGTGTGACTGGCATTCTTTAGAATAAATGCAAGTAGGAGTACAGCAAATTGTAAACGCAGAACTGTTCTTTATTAAAGAGATCATGGAAGTAACCAATTCAAAATTACATATGCTAGTGTATGCAAGTAATGAACCACTGCCAAAGTGAAACTCTACTTGCATCCTTCTCTCAAAGCCCAGAAGAGTCATCTATCGCTTACCTAAAGTGAACACTTCACCTGTGTTCTAATGATCGCATACAGCCTAACTCCAAAGGATCTTATTTCCACAATTACCTGCCCCATCCAATATATTCAATCTACTCCAGATAGCTCTGTCTCCGCCTGCAAAAATACACATCTCACATTTTGGAAAACTCTCTGTATAAACTTATCACCCCTTCTAGATTTCATCCAGTCCACAATTTGTTCTCACCAGTATTTCCAGTCTTATTTTTTACATTTCTTTATAGTAACCCTTCAGTAAAACTGACTCCCCAAACACCTTGCTCTGTGTCCCATTCCCCTTGTTTAGTACGCTCTTCTTTCACCTATTCAAACTCAGCTCACAATTCTCTCCAATGAAACAAGAAATGTTTCTTTTCTGACCTCTTAGAATATTCCCTATACCATAAACCTAGCACTAAATCTGCAAACTGAAATATTCCGAGTATGGTAGAAGGGCATGCTTTTGACTTCTGTAATAGACAAGTGTCTTCCAGTATTAATATTCTACAACTAAATAACAGCACAGTATACTGTACTAGTAAATGCTGAAATAAACACTGTTGATAATAAATGCTTAGAGTTAACTCCATAGTGGCACCTGGATACAGAGATTCAATATTCTACTTACCCAAATAGTATTTCCCATCTTTCAAAGGCTAGCTAATTCATAATTTATCATAATATATACTGTGAAAATACTTTAAATAACTATATTAGTTTAGCCAAACATCAATTATTAACACCAAATTAGTCAAGGAGCTTGTTTTCTTTTTTTCTTCTACTGACCAAGGCCAAGCGCATTAAGACTGCCATAAATGAATTAGACAACGAGAGAAAAACTCAAGTAGAGTTCTGAACTTTGCATTACTGTATTTAAAAGGTATCTTTTAATACCGCAGAGGTCAACTGGATGGAATGTCATAAATAAACAGAAAGAGGTTAAAAAAAAAAAAAAAAAATCTGCCAAACTCACAAAAGCATTGGTTAAATGCTTATAAAATGGTCAAATCAGGTTAAGAATTTTGGTCCCCTGAACTGAGTCCATGCTCCTTCCAACATACCACAGTATTTTAACTTTTATTAAAATATATCCATAAAAGTCATTATTTCAAGCAAATGATACATGCATTCAAACTGCATAGAATTTCGCCCTGACAGGCTTCAAATGCAACATACCAAGTTTCTGCATTCAGCAGAAAATTCACAAGTTTATAAATCATACAAAATTAACTCACTGAAAATAGGCAAGACTTCTGATTACATTAATAGCTCGCTCTTTTTAAATAAATTTATTAGTGGCAGTGAATAATGAACTCTGGGTTTATAGCAAATCCAAAATTCTATCCAAAATAAAAGTGGTAAGTAGGGTCTATAACCATGATACAGCCAATTAATTAATCAATAGCTACAACTGGCAGAATCTTCTCTTGCTCACAAAGAGAAAACAACTTGAGGCAAAAGCTCCTCTCCTAACAGACTTCATGAACATTTAAATATGATTTCAAGGTTGAAAAGTCACTACCAATAACTACATTGCATGATTTTTTCTTCTCAGAAGAAATGGGTAGAAAATACAACGCAAAAGGCAATTCAAAATTAAAGTGGGTATGGTCACCTAAGAAAAGGCATCTTCACAGGCTCTTCCCTTCTTCCCAGCTACTCTCCTCCCCCAAGAAGAAATAATAATCTGACTGGTCAGATTCCAGGACACCATCTGAGCTGGGTGTATTAATAGGCAGGGATCACCATGAACCAAAATATGATGCATATGGGTATGGCTCTCGTCTCCCTTCTCTACGCTGCCAGGTGGGAATACCTTTGAACATCCTGTTCATTCTTTCTCTAGCATTCTCTTCTGCTTCTTCCTTTTATATGTCAACAGCAGTAAAAAGAAATGGCCATTGTCTCCCTCTTATTTCTGGGAGAACTCCCCCCACAACAGTGATATGAGTTTGGACTTACAGGAAGGGAGAACACCTCAAGATTCCAACTACCAAGCCCATTGCTGTCGAGTTGATTCCGACTCATAGAGACCCTACAGGTCAGAGTAGAACTGGACCATAGAGTTTCCAAGGAGCATCTGGTGGATTCGAACTACAGACCTTTTGGTTAGCGGGCAAGCTCTTAACTACCGGGGCTCCCTCAAGACTCCAACTACAGGCTTTGGTATTAAAGTCCTGTGTTCCAGCCCAATTTACCAGAGTTATGCAGTGGGATTTTAGGTAAAAAACTAGTGAAAGATAAATTGGTACCTTATTTCCCATACACTATTAACTCTTATGTATACATTTCTCATAGGACCTAAACAGCTAACAGTGTAATGTGGATGGAGTCAATACAAATTTTGTGAAACAAATTCTGCAAACCAGATTTATGAAAACTGCAAACAAAGCTACTTACTACCTCAAAATACACAGGCCCAAATGTATAGGACTGTAAAATGTTAATCTTTCAATATTAATAAATGTTCACCTATAAAGAATTATTTAAGAAAGCATCACTAGTCTACTAAATACACATAACTAAAAAATTTATAAGAAAAACTGATACGTGAATTAAAAAAAGGATGTGAGTATTCAACACTCCTTTTAAACACAGGCAGAAAAACAAGAATTAACTCTTGAGAGGCACTACAGTGAGGGGATTAAAAGTGTGGACTGTAGAACCAGACTGCCTGGATTTGAAACCTAGCTTCACAATTTACTGTGTGACCTCAGGTAAGTCACTTAACTCTGTGCCTCAGTTTTTCTCATCTGGAAAATGAGAATAACAACACTTATCACATAAGAGAGACATGAGAATTAAATGAATTAATATTTAAAACAGTAAATACCACTGTAGCTACCATTATAATTTACAGAAATAACAGAGCATGACTCAAACATTTAAAAGTTATAAAGATTTCAAGAACTAAGAATAACCACAGGCATTATATAATATAAACAAGAATTCTTCCTTTTTTAAATTTTATTTTGTTGCTGTTGTTGAGAACATACACAGCAAAACATACACCAATTCAACCTTTTTCTACATGTACAATTCAGTGACACTGATTACATTCTTCAAATTGTACAACCATTCTCACCCTCCTTTTCTGAGTTGGTCCTCCCCCATTAACATAAACTCACTGCCCCCTAAGGTTCCCATCTAATCTGCGTGGCTGTTGTCACTCTGATCCTATACAGACAGTTCTTAAGGAAACCAATGGCTAAAACTTAGGCACTGAACACAGCTAGCAATACTCAATATAGAGTCAATAAATATTTAATAGTTTGATATGCCCAGCTCTGTGGCAGGTGCTCAGGGAATACAAAAAATAATAAAACCTCAGTCACTGCACAGAAGGTATTATCTCTAAATCTACTAAACATATTATGTACTTTCATGTCCTTTCCAGGGCTTTGCTCATGCTAGTGGTTCCTTACCCTAAATCAGCGTTCTCCATCTTGTCTTCCAACTTTGTCATCCTTCAGGACCTAGCTCAAAATAGTCTCTCTTCTATGCATGTCTCAGGCAGAATTAACAGATTCCAGTTTCCTCATTGCACCTTTATCTTTGCTCTATTACAGCACTTATAAGCTTATACGAAAAATATTTATTTGCCAGCACACTGTGATGCATTCCCTCAAGGAAAAGGATCATGCCTCACTCATTTTTTTATCTCTGGTACATGGCAAAGTGTCTGGAACATATTAGCTACTAAAAAATGTTCACTGAATTTGAATTTAGTTGGAAAGACAATATATAAGGGAAAATTATGGAACCAAACAAAATTCCAAAAAGTGAGGCAAGAGCAGGTCAGATTAGATAATAATTAGGTAATAATGGATTATATTCTACCTTAAATATCAAGTAACTCCTGAAACACTGTACATTTTACATTATCTCACGCTTGATACACACAGCAAACCTATATATCCCCATTTTATGATGAATTTGAGATGGAGGGGTTAGATGAATTTTCTAAAATCTTGTAGCTAATAAACGGTACAGCCAAAACTAGAAGTCACATCCTCAGCCAGATTTCCAATCTCATATTCCTTCCATCATACTATACTGTCACAGTCTCTTCTAACTCTAAAATACAATTAATTATATATTTATAATTATATACAATTATATATATTATATACATAATATATATTATATATTATATAATATACATATTATATATAACTACATATGATTTATATAGTTATAATTAAATGTTACTTTGTGACGGCTTTCATAACGGGAAGAAAAAAGAAATGAAATGTTAATATATCCTCTAGTGCTCAGAGAAGAATTTTTAAAGATATGGAACTTGAAGAATGGGTAGAATATGGACAAACAGAGGAAGACAAATAATCCCAGCAGGGAAAACTAGCATCAGCAAAGGCAGGAGGTGGGCAGAAGCAATGTGTATGCCAGCTTTTTAGAAACCTTTGGGTTGGGAGCAGTAGTAGATAATGAAAGCGCTGACACTATAACATGTTTTACTCTGGCATGGGACCGTAGACAAGTCACTTTACTTCCTAAACCTCAATTTTCTTAATCTCTGAAATGGAATTAGTAATACTCAATTCATCAGGTTGTTCTGGGAAAAAAAAAAATTCTATAAAATGTCTGATATAGTGCTGAACCACATGTTAAGTGCTGAGAAGTAAACACCATTAGTAGTCCTTTGATGTCAAATCTGTAAAATGAGACTAGACATGAACCACACCAAGTGGAAGACTGTAGAGGTCTCAATTTCAACCAACAGGCCTAAAGAGCCTGTAAGGTTTTATAATGAGGAAATAAAAATAACTATCTGGTAGCAATACACAGAAACAGAGCCTAGTCAGAGAGGCTAGCCAGGAAGCAATTTCAGCAACTAACACATACAGGGTTGCTGTGAGTCGGAACTGACTTGACCGCAATGGGTTTGGTTTTTTTTTTAAGACTATGGTAGCAATGGATTGATACGAAAAGCTATGAGTCTTTCCAAAAAGAATAAATAAAACTTGGGGAAAAACTGGCTGAGGGATAAAGAACAAGGGCACAGAAGATCTAAATGCTGATAGCAGGCAATACAGTAAGGGCCGGTGGAATCAGAATTATATGATTTAGAGTCTGACTACCACTTATTAGCTGTGTGTCCTCGAACAACCAACCTGACCTCTCTGAGCCTCCCATCTGTAAAATGAAGATATTCTAATTTCACGAGTCAATTCCAACTCATGGTGACCCCATGTGTGTCAGAGTAGAACCATACTCCATAGGGTTTTCAGTGGCTGATTATTCAGAAGTACACCACCAGGCCTTTCTTCCAAGGCATCTCTGGGTGGACCCCAACCTCTAATCTTTCAGTTAGCAGATGAGTGCATTAACCACTTGCACCACACCCAGGGACTCCCAATTTCACAGGGTTGTTGCGTGTTTAGCACATAGTAACCATTCAAATGGTATACGTTGTTAATACGTGGTTTCCTCATGCTTTCAAGGCCCCTCTGCCAGACTACTCTTCCCCTTTTATCCCTTTGACCAACTCTTAATTCTCTTTAAGAGTCAGTTTAACATCAGCTCCTTGGGAAGCTTTCCCCTTGGCAGCATCCAGTCTCATTACCTCTAAAAGAGCACTTACTAAAAAGTATTCTAGTTATCTGTTTATCTCTCTCTTGGCCCTCCTCCCCACACTGAACTTTGAGTTATTTGAGAGCAGCAACTGAGTCATTATTTACCTTTGAATCTCTAAATATTAGCATAATTAGTACATAGCAGGCTCTGAAATTTTTGTTTAATGACCAAAAACATAAAATATATAAATCCAGAAATTACACTAGCCACTCAGAAAATGTTTCTACCTAAGCTCGTTTCCAAATCAATACAACCGTGCTTTAAATTCAACAAAGATCAATATTTTAGAAATATAGTTTTCCCTCTCCTACATACACTACACTACACCATCATCGCCATCCATCCAATTTGAAGGCAATGTTTTGTAAGCATAGAAATCCCAGTCTATGATGCAATCTATTAGAAGTAAGCTTCTTGAGACACAGGGCTATATCTTCTTGACTACTGTATTCTCTGCATCTAGTTCAGTGCCTGAAACAGAGTAGGTGCCCAAAAATATTGGGTGAACAATATAAGTCATTCAGAAAAAGACACAGAAAGGTATGATTCAAAAAAATATATAATCCATAATTAACAGTCCCTTTCACACTACATTCCAAGAAAGGCTAACCTAATATCTGCAGCTATTTTGCTGACAAAAATCCCCAAGTACCTAGAAATTACTTAAAATATCAAGTACCTACTAGAAGTAAATTTTTAAACATCTAGAAATAATAATCTATGCTGGCTGGTTTCCCTTGGAATTCACTAACACTAACCTCCAAAGTGGGCCCTGAGTTCTGCCTGGTGTTCCTACACTTCCCTAGTCCATTTATTCTCTCACTGTCCTAGATCTCTATTTCATATCTTCTCCTTCTCATTTTTACACCTCCTTCTTTCTCCTCTCTCAGCTAATGGCCTTGCTTCCTATTTCCTTCTATCATGTTATAATATATCAGTGTTTCTTAAGAGTTTTACTGAAGAGTCCCCAGACTTCACAGGGAAGGAGGGGGTGTTAAGAGCCCTATGGCTCAGTCCTTGAACCACTCCCTAAAGGATCTCTCTTACGGCTTTGTTGTTGCTGTTGGGTGCTGTGGAATTGGTTCCAACTCACAGCAACCCTATGCACAACACAGAACAAAACACTGCCTGGTCCTATGCCATCTTCACAATCGTTGTTATGCTTGAGCCCATTGTTGCAGCCATTGTGTCAATCCATCTCATTGAGGGTCTTCCTCTTTTTCGCTGACCCACTACTTTACTAAGCATGATGTCCCTCTTCAGGGACTGATGGTATGGCTTTAAATACCACTTATACATTAACTGATGGTATGGCTTTAAATATCACTTATATATTAACAATTCCCACATTCACATCTTCAGCCCAGACACCCCTACTGTACTCCAGTACTACATATTGATAAATCCATTTGGAAATCTAACAGCCTCTCAAATTTAACTTGTTCAAAACGGAACATGGTTTCAGATGTTCTCCCCATTCTTCTTGTGGTCTTCCTCATCTTACTAAGTGGCAACTTCCTTCTTTAGTTAAAAACCAATTGCTGTTGAGTCAACTCCAACTAATGGCAACCCCAATGTGTGTCAAAGTAGAACGGTACTCTATAGGGTTTTCAATGGCTGACTTTTTTGAATTAAATTGCCAGGCCTTTCTTCCAAGGCACCTATGGGTGGGCTTGAACTTCCAACCTTTTGGTTAGCAGGTAACTGCATTAGCCTTTTGCTCCACCTCAAGGGCTCCATTCTTTAGTTGCTCAGGCCATAAACCTTATTGTAATCCTTGACCCCTCTTATACACCTACACTGTAGCTTAGAAATAAGTCTAGAAACCGGATGTTTCCCACCACCTCAGCTATTACTGAGGAACCCTGCTGGCGCAGTGGTTAAGAGCTATGGCCGCTAACCAAAAAGCTGGCAGTCTGAATCCCTGGAAACCCTATGGGGCAGTTCTACTCTGTCCTACGGGGTCGCTATGAGTTGGAATTGACTAGATGGCAGTAGGTCCACTATAACCACACCGATCTAAGACATCTTGACCTTTAATCTGGATAATTGCAGTGAACTTCACTGATGGCAGGGATTTTTTTTATTTTGTTCACTGTTTTTCTTTCTGTTTTGTCCAGTGCCCCCACACAGAGCAGACACTCAATATTTGTTAAATTAATCAAGCCTACCCACACTTGAAGTGTCTCTTCTTTCTACCCCTGCTGCATACAATCAACATAACAATCAGAAAGATCCTCTTAAAACACAAATCAGATCAGTTTACTCCTTTACTCAAAACTCTCCCATCTCATTCAAAACACGTAAAAACCAAAGTTCTTACAAAGTCCTGCAGGGCGCTATATGACCTGGCCCTATCTCACTATCTTTCAAATCTGATTATCTACTACTTCTTTCCCCTTTGCTTTGTTCCAGTCAAACTAGCTGATATGTACCTGTCTCAGGGCCTTTGTAGTTGCTTTTCCTGTGTCTGATGGTGTTTTCCACCCTTCTTTATCACCTTTAGGTCTCAGCTCAAATATCTTTTTGGAGGCCACCAATGCAACTTCCTACCCACACCATCAGCATTCCCCATTCTCCTTCACTGCTTTACGTTCGTCTATAGCACTTTTCACTACTGACACATATTTCATTTTTGTATTAACATCTTCTTTGCCCCTCCTGGGGCGAAGTGAACTTCATTGATGGCAGCGATTTTTTTTATTTTGTTCACTGTTTTTTCTGTTTTGTCCAGTGCCCCCACACAGAGCAGACACTCAATATTTGTTAAATTAATCAAGCCTACCCACACTTTAAGTGTACACATTATTGTAAAAATCCATCTCCATTCTGTTCATCTTTCTCCAATTTTAATCAGCATACCTTTGACGATCAAAGCCCATGTTCAAACATAGTGTAAATTCTAAAATTCCTCTCAACTACTACCCTCAGCCCAACACACATCCTTATTTTCAAATTCAAAATTCAACCAGCAACTTCCTCTACGGAAATTACAAATAGTTCAGTTCAGATCCAAACACTCTCCAGTTCCAAGCAATCAAGTGAATTCTGGAAGGCGTTGAAAGTTCAGCTGCTGTTTGGTGGCCCCTGGGTTCTGACTCTTGCCGAAAACATGCAGTGCCTCTCCCCAAGGCTCAGAAAAATCTAGAACCAACCCCGATTCCCTAGGTTCCTGAAGTTCAAGTGTGACTTGAAAATAACCTGAAGCGTAACTAAAGTATGTGAAAGTGCTTTGCCAAAAGAAAATGGCTTTGTTAACATTAAACGTTATTAATAAAATAACACTTAATGGTTGCCATTGAGACTATAAATTGGAGAAAATATCTATCGAGTTAGGTTAGAATCAGACTGCACTGTAAACCAATAATAGTTTAAATAACTCCTCCACAAATAAATGCAGGTCCTGAACTGAACTCTAGAGCCTGCGATAAAACACTGGGTTTCCTACCTTAGTCTGGGGCATATTCCCCGAGAGACCGCACAGGCCGCACCCTCCGGCAGGCCCAAGAGCTCCGGAGGCGGCTTCTCGCCAAACCCACCTCTGCCCGCGGAACCACCTTCACCCGCCATCACCACCATAGGAGCGTTCCTCTAGCCGGCCACTCGCCCCTCCTTCTTACCACACCTACCCGGCCCTTTCCCAGTCCTCCTCCAGGTACTTCCTCTAACTAGCAGACACATACAACCCCTACCCGAAGTGCCGGCTCCTTCTCCGGCTTCTTACACCAGCGGAGACGCCTGGGTCCCGAGCGCTGGCAAGGCAGCAAGGCTGGTTGCCAGACACAGTGTCCGCAGAGGCGCGCTAACCAGAGTCCCGAGAGCCCGCGCAGCCGCAGAAAGTACCGGCGCGGAGGTCGGAGCCGAGCCCTGCTGCACTTCCGCCCTCCGGTATCCAGCGATTACAGCCGGCAGCGCCGCCGAGTCTAGGAAGCCCGCTGCAAGTCCGGTCACCCTGGACGCCCGTAGATGACGTCACTAGACCTCACATGGCCCGCCCTCCGCCCTCCGAGTTCTGCCCAACCCAGAGAGTAGGCGGTAGCCACGCTTAAGCATGCGCGGATGGAGGGAGGCGCTCAAATGTGGCGTGAGACTCTTGGCATGTGTACGAGAAGTGTACGGTTTCCAAGGTCTTCAGAGAGTCTCGCGGCTGTGGTGTAGTCATTGGTGTCTGAGGAACTTAACGTAGCAGTTGTATACGAGCAGTGAGTTTTAAATATACCGAGACACTACCTCACTAGAGCTTCATTGAAGCATGTCTTTCTTCTTGGTATCACATAATAGTGATGAAACGTTGGTTTTCAAAGTGCTTTCACATCCATTGTCTGATTTGGTTCTGTTTGTCAGAGCGACGGCAAGCATTAATAGCCGCATTTAACAGACTAGGAAACCCTGGTGGCATAGTGGTTAAGAGCTACAGCTGCTAACCAAAAGGTCGGCTGTTCAAATCCACCTAGGTGCTCCTTGGAAACCCAATGGGGCAAGTCTACTCTGACCTATCGGGTTGCTGTGAGTTGGAATCAACTCGAAGGTAATGGGTTTTTTAACAGAAGAAGAGTGAAATATATGAGTACAGGAGCTCTCCTACCCATCCAATAATGCATATCTGTATCTTCCTGTATATTTCCTTTTCCCAAAAATAACAAGAAATTAATAAACTTGCTTCTCAATAATGTTTGAATTAGCTCTAGCCAGAAGTCTTACCAGCCATTTAAGGTTTTCCTCTTCATCACACATGCCATGCAACATAATGCCCTGCATACTAAGTAAATACTGAGAGGCAAAACAGAATTCTGATCATTGGGAAGATTAGGAAAATCCTAATAGTAGCTAGAAGAATTCTTTTAAAAAAAAAGAATCTTCTTGAAGGTTGACTAGTCCAATGTTTTTCACACTGTGAATCACAATACATTAGTGAGTCATCAAATCAATTTAGTGGATCATGACTGGCATTTTAAGATAATAAAATAAAATAGAAAATACTCGCTCACTTCATTCGTGTTAAGGGTAAATATTGTTTCCTGAAAATTATATTTCAGTATCTATTGGGGTACACTGGGTAGGAAGTGAAATACATTTCTTAGAATGAGTAGCAGCCAAAAACAGTTGGAAAGAGTTCTGTAGGTTTCTATGGTGCTCTCAAATCCCATAAGGCACTATTATGGTCTCAAAACACATATGTGTTTTGTAATATGAACTTAGTTAGAAATAGAAACGTGCTTACCTTTGTGAGGCTCCCTGAAATTAACTATAAATCATTAGAAACCTGTAAGTCATTAGAAAGTTATTTGTAAAACTTTCTTTTTTTACTGTGCTTTAGGTGAAAGTTTATAGCTCTAGTTAATTTCTCATAGGAAAATTTAAACACAGCAGACGGGGCCAAGATAGCAGAGTAGATGCTTCCAGTGCTCCCTCTTACAACAAAGACCCGAAAAAACAAGTGAATCGACTATATATGACAATCTAGGAGCCCTGAACATCAAAGGCAAAGTTGAGGAATCGGGCTAGGGGGAAGAGGAGAAAGAGACAGTTCGGAAGCAGCAAGGAGTTGCCAGACCATACCTGGCGGGAGCCAGAGCCCTTCAGGTCAGATCAGCTCGTGTGCGTGGTGAGGCAAGCAGCGGTGCTTGGGAGGCATTTTCCACATCAGGAGAGACCGAGCGGCAGAGAGTCTACTCAGGCATCCAGAACCAGTGAGAAGCAGCCCTCGATCAGCAAAAGATAAACACTTGCGTCTGGCCTACCGTGCGGATCAAAAACACGCCCCTTTGGGAAAATACTCTCTCCTATTTACCTCCCTGCTCCCTGCTCTGCACTGAGTCTGGGATGGCTTCAGCGACTGCAGAGTCCCTGGGCCGGAAGTAGGACCTGGCATGCACCCTGAGCCATTCTTCCGGCACTGGAGAGGGAACAAATTAACAAACGGGAAAAAATAATCTGCCGGCTCCCCTAAGCCAGGAACTCAGGGTAGGCATAGCTCCTTTGCCTAGGCACAGGCATAAGGGGTCCATGGACTTTGAGTGCCTTTCCCCCTGCATGGACTTCTGTGGGCCCATTTCAACAGCGTAGGCCCTCATTACCACAGTACAACGGGGTATATACCTGAAGTCTAACTTCAACTGTTTCAGCTATGAGGTGGCAGGTTCATGACATTTGACACTGCTCTGTCCATTAAGCAAGGCATTCACCTACCCACATCAGGGGCCTGAGGACTGATGGCTCCACCCACACGACCTAGCCACCTGCGACAGGGGTCTAGGAATAAGAGGTGCCCCGCAGTCCTTACAGCTAACAGCACTGGGTGCTCATAGTCCAGCTGCAAAACCCACCCACCTATGCGCTCCAGGGTACAGGGAGACGCTTTCCTCTCAGACACTCGGGCAGCCGTCAGTCCCCTTCCTTGCTCAGCGCATGACCCCCCTACCGCAGCCAGATCCCTGTGCCTACACCAGTCACCCATGCTAGTCTAGGACTGTAGTTGAGAGCCTGCACCACACACTTTGTGACCCACAACCTGCTGCCCTGAGCTGAATCCATACAAGAAAAGTAAATGGAATCCTGTGCTCACATAATTAGTAACAGATCTAACCACCTGATGACAGGATGTTAGAGCTTCAAAGGCGCCAATAATCAATCTAGCTCACATGAGCAGCCTATTTGGGCATATCAAAACAAAACAAATCAAGAAGCTAGGACAAAGTAAACAAACATAAAATAAAAAATATGTAATAACTTATTGATGACATGGAGACAATACTCAATATGAAATCACGTAAAGAGGCAGACCATGATGGCTTCAGCAAGCTCCCAAAATAGAGAGTCAAGAAATTTTCCAGAAGAAGAGAATTTCTTGAAATTACCAGAGACAGAATACAAAATATTAAATATACAGAACTCTTCAAGAGATCAGGAAGGAGATCAATCAAAATGCAGACCAAGCCAAGGAACACACAGACAAAGCAATAGAATATTAGAGAAGAGCATAATGACAAATTTAACAAGCTGCAAGAATCCATAGAGAAACAGCAATCAGAAATCCAGAAGATGAACAATAAAATTTCCGAATTAGACAACTCAATAGAAAGTCAGAGGAGCAGAATTGAGGCAATGAAAGTCAGAATTAGTGAGAATGAAGATAAAGCACTTGACACCAACTTATTTGAGGAAAAATCAGATAAAAGAATTTTAAAAAATGAAGAAACTGTAAGAATTATGTGGGACTTTATCAAGAGGAATAACCTACGAGTGATTGGAGTACCAGAACAGGGTGGGGGTGGGGGGAAACAAAATACAGAGAAAATTGTTGAAGATTTGTTGGCAGGAAACTTCCCTGATATGATGAAAGATGAGAAGATATCTATACAAGATGCTCATCGAACCCCACATGAGGTAGATCCCAAAAGAAAGTCACCAAGACATAATCAAACTTGCCAAAACCAAAGGTAAAGAGAGAATTTTAAGAGCAGCTACAGATAAATGAAAAGTCATCTACAAAGGAGAGTCAATAAGACTAAGGTCAGACTGCTCAGCAGAAACCATGCAGACAAGAAGGCAATGGGATGACATATATAAAGCCTTGAAGGAAAAAAATTGCTAGCCAGGAGTTATATATCCAGAAAAACTGTCTCTCAAGTATGATGGCGAAATTAGGACATTTCCAGATAAACAGAAGTTTAGGGAATTTGCAAAAATCAAACCAAAATTACAAGAAATACTAAAGTGAGTCCTCTGGTTAGAAAATCAGTAACATCAGATAACAACCCAAGAAGACAGAGCAACCAGATATCAACCCAGATAGGGAAGTTACAAAAATAAACCAAAGCTAAAACAGTGAAAATAGGGAAATAGAGATGTCAATATGTGAAAGACAGAACATTAAAACAAAAAAGAGGGACTAAAAAATGTAGACAGTGATTCTTCATATGGAGAGGAAGTCAAGCAATACAAAGAAATAAAAGACTGGTTTAAACTTAGAAAAATAGGGTAAATATTAAGGTAACCTAAAAGGAAACTAACAATCTGACACATCAAAATAAAAAACAAGAAAAATATGAAGACTCAGCAAATACAAAATCAACAACAACGAAAAAGATGAAACAAAAATACATAAAAACGACACAGCACAGAAAATTAAGTGGAAAAAGAAACTGTCAAAAGCACACAAAAAAAGACATCAAAATTACAGCACTAAATTCATACCTATGAATAATTACGCTGAATGTAAATTGACTGAATTCACCAATAAAGAGACAGAGAGTGGCAGAATGGATTAAAAAAACGATCTGTCTATACGCTGCCTACAAGAGACACACCTTAGACTTAAAGACACAAACAAACTAAAACTCAAAGGATGGAAAAAAATATATGAAGCAAACATCACTCAAAAAAGAGCAGAAGTGGCAATATTAATCTCTGACAAAATAGACTTTAAAGTAAAATCCACCACAAAGGATAAGGAAGGGCACTATATAATGATTAAAGCATCAATACGCCAGGAGGACACAACTATGATAAATATTTACACACCCAATGACAGGGCCCCGAAATACATAAACTCTAACAGCATTGAAAAGAGAGATAGACAGCTCCACAGACTTCAACACACCACTTTCGGTGAAGGACAGAACATCCAGTGAAGCTCAACAAAGTCATAGAAGACCTAAATGCTACAATCAACCAACTTGATCTCATAGACATATACTGAACACTCCACCCAACAGCAGCCAACTATACCTTCTTTTCCAACGCCCATGGAACATTCTCTAGAATAGACCACATATTAGGCCATAAAGCAAGCCGTAACACAATCCAAAGCATCCAGATATTACAAAGCATCTT